TATATTTAAGTTTCTTATGCAGGTTGAAGCTGTCATGCTTTTTTTGGAGGTCTTCTATTTCTTTACATAAATTCTCAAGCCAGGATTCTTTGGCTTGCTTAATTTTTCTTTTTATGCGTTTATTAATTTCACGATATTCGATAATATTTCTATTTTTGTGTTGCCGTCGAACTTCCATCAGATCTAGAATTTCTTGTGTCATCCACTCATTTTTTGCCAACATGGTAGGTGTTTTCAAAGACTCTTGTACGTTCTCTAAAATCGAGTTTTGAATGGCATACCAGCATTCGTTAATGGTTCTGTTTTCGTTTGGTATATTTGATATTCTGTGTATTTTACTATTTATTTGCTGTGATATGTGTTCGCGCGTTTGAGGGTTTTTCAGGGGGTCGAGATATATCTTACAAGGCTTAGTTGGCTTTGTTAATTTCTTCAATTTAATTTGTATTTTGGAGCAGAGTAAATTGTGATTTGAGTTTATGTCAGCGCCGGGGTAAGTTTTTACATCTTTAATATTGTTTCGAAATCGGTGGTTTATTAGGATGTAGTCTATTTGATTCCGTACTATTCTGCCTTGATGTCCATCTTGAGGGGATTTCCACGTGTAAAGACGCCTTTCTGGAAGTTGAAACCAGGTATTTGTAATGGCGAAGTCATTTTCTTGGCAGAATTCTATTAGCCGTTCACCTCTTTGATTTCTCTCTCCCAAGCCAAACTTTCCGTGATGCCCTGCGTCATCTTCTGTCCAACTTTAGCGTTAAAGTCACCCATAATTATTATTGCTTCGTGTTTCTTTGTTATTTTTAGCACTTCTTCTATTTGATGGTAGAATTCTTCAATATTCTGCTCATCTGCGTCAGCAGTGGGAGCATAAACTTGGATGATATTTATATTTACAGGTTTAGCATTCAGCTGTATTAAAATTACTCTGTCTGATATTGGGATGAAGTTAGTGACATACTTATTAATATGCTGTTTGATAATTATTGCTACTCCATTTCGATGCATATGGTCTTGATTTCCAGAAAAATAAACGGCGTAACCATTTGCACTGAAATTCCCTTTGTTTGGCCATCTTGTTTCACTCGCCCCCATGATAGTAATGTTTAATCTGTCCATTTCAGAGAGTAGATTTCTCAACTTACCGGCTTCATATAAGGTTGTTACATTCCATGTAGCCACTTTGTATGGATTCTTCATTTTCATCGTATGTCTAGTGATGTTTTCCTCACAGGATTTCGCTGGCTAGCGACCTGGGAAGCCCTGTGGTTTGATTGTGTATTCCTTCCCCTGCCGGATCTTGAGTTCCGCAGCCCTGATCAGTAGTATTCGTTACACTCATTGATTCCATGATAACTTTACTAGGGATCATAATGGGGTGGTTTTCCGTTGCCTTCCCCATCGCAATATCACAGCCGCTTAACTCATAATGTGAGTGACGCCTGTGAGTATCTGGAATAAACCTACAGGATTTTTACTTCCCACAGCCTTAATCCAGTAATGACATTACTGCTGCCTAATGTCATATCCTGTTGATCCGCGGGTACTTATTTAACAATGCCTTATTCGTACCTGTCCTGCATATCTGCAGGAACTTTCCCTATCAGCCATATGGGACGTGCCGTGTCGAGGTTGAGGACATCCCCCGCCCAGTCTGTCTTCCGTGAAGTACAGAAGAGCCCCTACTCAGTTCAGAGCTCCTCCTCCACGAAAGCTAGACTGGACACAGGAAATAATTGGCATTAATTAAAATACTAACTAACCTACACAAGACAGTTCAAGAACTGACAGGATTAAGAAAACAAAATCCCACTAATGCACTTCTGGATAGACACGAGACTACTATAACACAGACGGACGAGAAAGTGTAAAGACGGGCAGAATATATCGACGAACTGTTCGATGATGAAAGAGGAGATCTAGATATCATAGAACTTACGTCAGAAGAAATAGGTCCATTCTCGTATATTGCAAAAGAAGAAATATTACACGCACTAAAAACAATAAAAAGTGGGAAAAGCCCGGACTTAACATGCTTCCTATAGAAATCCTAAAAATTTTAGATGAGAAGCACATTAATGTTTTAGTGACACTCTAGAACCAAATTTTTAGTTCAGGCGTATTACCCAAAGAATGTTTAATGCCGATTTTTATTTGTCTCCCCCCCCCCAAAAAAACGCAAGAGAATGCAGCGATTACCGCACCATTAGCTTGATGTCTAATGTGCTAAAGTTACTACTAAAAGTCATCCATAACCGAATATATCACAAACTGACAAACTGAATATAGACGTTAATGACACACAATTTGGTTTTCGCAAAGGCCTAGGAACGCGTGAAGCTACCTTTTCACTTAATATACTGATACAAAGATGCCTGAAAGTCATCAAGATATTTACGCATGTTTTTTTACATGCATGTTTTATTAATAAAGCATTCAATAAAGTACGACAGGAACAAATAATGAATGTCCTGTCCTGAAATGACATTAACTAAAACGACCTCAGGATCATTATTAAATTTATACTATAAACACCGAGCAAAAGTATGTGTTAACGAACAGCTGTCAGAAGAAATTAAAATTAGACGTGGAATGAGACAGAAGCTCTTGAGGGTAAAACAGCTTGAATAAAGGTAAATGGATTTCCCATTAACAACACTAGATATGTGGACAACACTGTGATCTTAGCTGAAAATATTAAAGATCTTCAGAAACCTATCTGGGAACAATGATTGACTCAATATCTATTTAAATGGGAATAAGCCACAATTAAAGATTAAAGTACGTTTATTGACGTTTCAATATCCACTTCGGAAATCGTTCTCAAAATACAGACATTAGTAAATTCAATTTAAAAACAAAAAGCTCTTGAGGGTAAAACAGCTTGAATAAAGGTAAATGGAGTTCCATTAACAACACTAGATATGTGGACAACACATGTGATCTTAGCTGAAAATATTAAAGATCTTCAGAAACCTATCTGGGAACAATGATTGACTCAATATCTATTTAAATGGGAATAAGCCACAATTAAAGATTAAAGTACGTTTATTGACGTTTCAATATCCACTTCGGAAATCGTTCTCAAAATACAGACATTAGTAAATTCAATTTAAAAACAAAAAGCCGCGATTTCTTTGAAGTGACTAATAGCTTTCTCTTTATCTTCCATTTTCAAACGCCTTGCTTGTTCTTTTTTTTAATGTTTCATGTACTCTTCATCTAAAATATTTCCCAATCCATGGGAAATACTCAACTCGCGTTGGTCTTTTCGTTCTTTGTAGATTTTTATGATAGATTTGTTCATTTCTTCTAAAAAAAGTTGTTTTAGAACGACAATTTGTATTTATATTTTGACAGTAGTTTTTGTACTCTCTATAAAATTCGGCTTTGTTTCGGAATACAGGCTCTAAGTACAACTTATTTGTACTATCCCGGCAGTAATGGGACTCCATTTTAGGGATTTCTGACAAAAACTTTTGAAATATGTGTCTTGATTCATCTGTACCCCTCTTATTACTACCAGCTCTCCGAACGTTTACTTTAGGCACATTCATTCCACTATCTTTTCTAGCACTTTCTAACCATCCATTCACCTACATTAATTGTTGACATAAACATTTTTTTACATACGTTTTTGTTCTCAGTTCTATTTTTTAAATAGTAATGGAGAGTGCTACTTCTTCGAGATCCTTTTACTTTACGTTGATAGAAACAACATCAACCATTGAACTTAAAAATGTCTTTTTCATATCCAATGATAATTGCCAAAATGAATAAAAAATTGCTTTTCTGTCTTGCTTCACAAATTAATTACAAAATATTGTCTTTAATGTTTGACATTTCCAATTACATCCAGGTTTTAAAGTGCAATTGTTTTTATTAACCATCAACCTATAATGTCCGTCATCATCTTTCTTTATTTTCCAAGCATTTTAGCTTTTTTAATTTCATTTCTGGCTCTTCTTGTTTGAGTACGCTTTCTGTTCTCATCTGTTCTTCCACTTTGATTACTTACTTCTCCGACTAAATTGCTGGCTTCATCTTTGATCTCTGAGCTCGAGTCTTCTGCTGTTGTAACAAAATATGGATCTTTATCATCTATACGCTTCTATGATTAAGCTTCTCATTGTTCCGATATCTTGGTTTAAGTCGATTTTATTTAAAACACCGATCTGAGCTTTTGGCTTAAAATCTAGATCGGAACATAAAATTTCTTCAACTAGTTGATTGCTCTTTACCTCTGGTAAACAAATTCCAAGTTTTTCTTACTAAATTATTTCAGTTATTAGATTAGGTTTTTTCACTGGCTTTTAGATTCCAATTATTTGTTAACTTAGAAGATTCTTGTTCTTCAAAGAAGTCGGAAAAGCTTTTTTTTACCATCAGTTTGTTTCTGGATAGACCACTCGACCTGCTATATCCATAGTACAAAAAGTATTTGAAAAATCTGGATATATAATATATATATATATATTTGTATATAATATATATATATATATATAATATATATATATATATTTGTATATAATATATATATATATATATATATATATATATATATATATAATATATATATATATATATATATATTACACTGTATTAATATTACAATTACTAAAAAGTGACTGGGTTACACTGTTGATTTAAATACATCCTGAGTAGTATTATGATATAAAATAAGTTTCTTCTCACACAACTGCATGCAATAAAATACAAAACAAGTTTAACCATAACCCAACTTTATAGAATAAAACAGTTTTTTTTTGTAAAAATAAACTAATTACAAAACTGACCTTGAATCATATTTGACCAATTACCAGTTTTTACTTTCGACTGAGTATAAAACATAAAATTACAAAAAAAAGAAGGAAAACATCTACGGCGCCTTATGACATTTCTGACGAACAAAACTTCGTATTTGCAAGTGGCCGCCTTATACGCGGTTTTGTACGGCAAATAAATTACTCAACTAAAATACGAGGTATTGCATATCGTCAAAAAATAAGATCGAAATAGCTCAGACATACAAGGTTTTGTGCATATATGCGCAGGCAAGCACTGTTCTAAGTAACATGATAAAATGAATTCTGTCAAAATTGCAAATACGAGGTCTTGCACTTTTACCGACGATATTATTTACTATGATGTTAAAAAAAGACACAATGCATGGTTACAACAGCAAATTTATTAGGATGTAAATTGGAGCTGGAATGTCAAATAATAAAACAAGTGATGAAGTTTAAATATCTAGGCATTATATTATCTATCTGCGGAAAGCTCGAAACCAAATTGAAAGATCAAGTAAATAGAGCAAACAGAGCCGCAGGCTACCTAAATGAAACAATATGGAGAAATAAAAATATCGGGAAAGAAACGAAAGGCAGAATTTACAAAACAGTCATAAGACCAATAATGACATACGCGGCAGAAAGAAGACCTGATACAGAGAGGACAAAAAGGATGTTAGAAACAGTAGAGATGGAAATAATTAAAAAAATTGATGGTAAGACACTATGGGATAGAGCTAGAAGTACAGATATACGACGTAGATGCAAGGTGAAGAGCATCAAGAACTAGTTAAGAAATAGAAGAGTAGTTAGATCCGATGTGCTCACTCTATCTGCTGCTTTAACTTCAGTAAAAATGGTCGGGTTCTGACATCCCTACCATAAAAAATATTTTTTTGAAAGGTAGATTCCAGTGTACAATCCGTTGTGTTTTTTTAATTGATTAAAGAATGAAAAGGAAAAATTAAAAACAAAACCAGTATTTTTCTGCTTACCACATGATCTCTCCTGGTAGGATAATTAATATTTGATGTAAGTGAATAATTGTTAAATTAAAATTAGTTATTTACATCATTGTTCTCTTGTAGCATAGCCCCGTAGATGACATTGTAAGCCGAAAAAGCTTAGCTAGTAATTAAAATCTGTTACACACTTCAAAAATAGTTCCCTTCTTCATCTTTTGATTTGCCATAAGTGTGTGCAAAAACATCAGATTTTTCATTTTTTAAATTATAACGTTTCTAAACTCCAAATAGTAATAGAAGAAATACCAAAGCTTACAAAAGAATAAATTAAAGAAGTAATAAAATATATGAAAAATCAAAAAAGATCCGGCGAGAGCAGCATTGTGGCAGAGAATTTAAAATATGGAGAAGAGACTTCATAGGACCAACATCGTGAGCTAATAATTGTAGAAGTGTGGGATGCCGAAGAAATGCCCCAAGGATGGAACAAGTCCATTATAATTCCTATTCACAAAATGGAAGATAAAACTAAATAGAGAATAATATACTTATAGAGAGCAAACGAATTGAAATATATGTGGAAAAAAGTCTAGGAGAGTACCAGGGAGGATTTCTCAAGGAAAGATAATCAACCGATCAAATCTTAATGCAAAAACAAATCCTAATTAATTGCTATGAATACATCATTCCAGCACAAGTACTTTTCATTGGTTACCAAGCCGCATACGATATAATAGACATAAACAAATTAATAGAAATACTAAAAGAAGACTTAGTTTCTGTTATCCCAAACAATGGTGGATGCGAAGAAGAGATACGTCGACGCCTTACAATGGCCAGATCAGTAACGGTCAAACTTATTAAAAATCTGGAATGAAACTGCGCCTAGTACGGACGCTTATCTTTCCTATACAATCTATCTAAGGTATTAGACAAGTCAAGACTATTGGTTGGAGAGTCCTGAGGGCAAAAAAGAGAGGGGCACCAAAAAATTAATGGAGATATGTAGTGATGGAAGATGTCAGAGAGATGGGAATCAGAGATTGGAAGCAGCCAGTAAAGAACAGAATACGATGGAAATTATCCATCAAGCTATATATATATATATATATATATTATATAATATATATATATATATACATGTTAATAAGATCCCCAAATTTTAAATAAGATTAAAATCAGACCATTAATAAAATCGAGAACGCCCTGTATATAGAAATAGTTTAGTTGTAAAATCATAAACCATTTACCGGGAACAACGTGAGTGGTTTCCGAATATGTGAATAGGTTATCTAGAAAGTTTTCTCCGATAAAAAGACAATACGGTTTGGACATGACCAGATAGTTTTAGTTTGTAATTTTTGGAAAAACCAAAAATTTAATGGACTAAGAAACCGATGATGCGTTTGATGAGAGGGGAGGTTTGTTTGGATTGGTTTGAGATGGATAAAAAAGAAGGGGGAAAAAAGCTTGCCGGGAATAAAATGAGGGGAAAGAGGACATTGTGAGTTGAACATCAAGAGAGACCGGTTCCGGTGAAAACATTTTTTTGAGAATTTATAAGAAGTAGTGCCTAGTGTTTTTGTGGAAAATTAAGCAGTCATTGTGGTAAGCAGAGACAAGTTTCAGTAGAAATAGAGACGTTACTGTAAGTGCAAACACATATATTTTCGTTTTGTCTGAGAGGAAGCAGTTTGTTTGTATTGGAGTTTGGAGCTTGTGGTAAAGACATCACGATATTTTCACATACTGTTAGTCTTTTTCTTTTATTATCAAAAGAAACAGTAGGCGGAATAGCGAGCAGGGAAATTGGTAGGATCCGGGAAGTACATTGCGAGCTGGTCAAGGCACAATCCAAGCAGAATCAAGGGTAGATAGTCTGTTTGAAAACCAAAGTTTCGAGTTTTTAAATAAATTCTATAAAGACATTCTATCACGACCATCTATCAACATTCATGTCAATTGTTTGTAATTTGCAATATTTTTACAGTTAAGGCAAGAAGTCAAGGAACCAATAATTCTTTTAAAATTTTTATATTAAGAGATATTTGATTTAGAAATATGTGTATTTAATTTTTATTGAGCATTAAGGGATGTGTGATTTGATGGATGATTGATAAATTTTTTATTCTATTTATAGTGTATGGTCTAAGATTTATCCTCAACGGAATATTAAATTAACTGGATATATTTTAAAATAAAGGACAATTGTTTTAATATCAGGATTGATTGTCTATTATTTCTTTTTCCTTTTGTTGATCTTTCTTAAATGGAACTAGCAGAAGATACTTTGAAACCACGTTTTAATAAAAAAAAAAAGAAAAAAATTATTTTTAGCCCTGAGATATTCTTTGCTTTTGATTTGTTTGATAAAGATAAATTTATTACATTTCAGACTCATTAAGTAGATATTTTGTAATATATAAACAATTGATTTATCCGCAATTAATTAAGAAAAGTTATATCCCGTCTTTCTTACTATAACAAAATATCTCCTTGTATAAATATTAAATGCAAAATTTGTAGGAAACTCTTCTGGCACGTTCAGGGAAAATATACAACGTCAGCAGGAGGATATTCCCGACTTTCCATGCAAATATTAAGGCAAATTTCGATGGAGGAATCCTCACGCACGTGTTTGAAAAAATTCAATAACCATATTTTCTCTCTTTTTATGTGTTCAATATAGTGAAATGGTTTTAGAGTTAATATTAATTTTACAAAATGATTCAAGATATTTTTTAAATTCTATTAAAAAAGTTAAAAATGTTAAAATATATTTAACCTATACTTCGGTGCAAAGTTATCGTAACACTTACGTTTTCCAATTCATTTTCACTATTTAAGACAATAGCGGTTACTGTTCTCAATTTTAAATAATTGTTGTATATTAGAGGTTCCCAAACTTTTTTCCCTCGTAGATCCATTGTCATGTTCAATTTTAGATAAACCACAAGCTATTCACTTTGAAAGATTTAAATTTATTACAGTAGTGAAGTAGTTACAGTGTGCACAATTAAAATTTTTAAACTAATTTATACAAATTTATTAATTAAATTTAAATCAAAATGTAGTAACTGTTATATGAGATAAACCAAGCAAAAAATAAGTTCATTTAATGAGAGGGATGAAGTTCATGGTTTTATGATAAATTATCGACATTTGGCATTAATTTAGATAGGTCTAATCTCAAATCTCCTCGGTTAATGATGTCCAGTTTGTTTCTTTTTTTTTCAATATAAGGTTGAATGTTCGAATAAATGAACTTTGATGGTACACAAGGCAAATATCGAACACAGTATTTAATTAAATCTTGCCAAGTACTTTCGATCACAAGATCATCCTCAGGGGCATTTCGTCAATTGTGGCCTATCCAGCAATAACCGAATGTCATACATGTAAACTGGGACATGACAAATACATACACTAAAGACAAACAAACACTTTAAAATTTAAATTGGAGAAGCTACATTTTTATATTATAGAAGCCGGAGACAGAAACTATACCATTCTGTCTCCGGCTTCTATAATATAAAAATATAGCTTCTCCAATTTAAATTTTAAAGTGTTTGTTTGTCTTTAGTGTATGTATTTGTTATGTCCCAGTTTACATGTATGACATTCGGTTATTGCTGGATAGGCCACAATTGACGAAATGCCCTGAGGATGATCTTGTGATCGAAAGTACTTGGGCAAGATTTAATTAAATACTGTGTTCGATATTTGCCTTGTGTACCATCAAAGTTCTTTTTTTTTTGTTATGAGATTTATAACAGCGCTGAAAACCTTTTCTGCTAGGTATGCAGATTGAAAAGAAATTAAAAACTTTCACACGGTATGCCCACGGATTAGTAACAGGTATATCTTTTTGAAGCCGGAATTGTTGATATCCGTTTCTAAACTATACCTTAAGTTGTTTGTTAGTGCTTATTCCAACGAATTCCTATTGTAATGTAACATCCATTTATTTAATGTCATCAAATGGATTAATAATCCATTGCGTTATTATTCTTCTTCAAGTGCCATCTCCGCGACGAATGTTGGTAATCATCATGGCTATTCTGACCTTCGAGGCAGCAGCTCTGAACAATTGTCTTGGGCTGCAACCAAACCATTCTCTCAGTTTCTTTAACCAGGAAACGCGTCTTCTTCCTACGCTTCTCATACCCTCTATTTTTCTTAAATTATGAGTCTCAAGATGTTGTATCTTTCGTATCTTGTCCGAGATATTGCAAATTCCTTTCTTTTATTGTATTTTACATTTCCTTCTCTCTGGCTATTCTCCTTAACAATTCTGTATTCGTGAATCTATCTACCCATGGAATCTACCTTAACAATCTTCTAAATGTCCACGTTCCAAACTCGTTAAGTCTATTTATTGTATTCCGATTTAATGTCCATGATTCAGCTCCATAGTAGTATGTACTGTGTACATAGCATTTAATTAGCCTTATTCTGAGGGAGAATGTCAGATCTTTGCTGCATAAAATCTTTTTCATTTTCACGAAGCTGGTACGTGCTTTTTTAATTCTGACTCTAATTTCTGCAGTATAATCGTAATTTTCTGTGATTATCGTTCCCAAGTAAGTACAATATATATATATATATATATATATATATATATATATATATATATATATATATATGTATATATATATATACATATTTTACAATATCTGTTTGTGCTTATATATATACACATTTTAGAATCTTGACAACGGCAAGGGTTTCCTGCCGAAACGTTGATTGATTGCAATGGAAAATAAAATCTAGTTCCACATGTAACATATCTTTATTGAACCTAAACCCAAGAAACATTAATTTTATATTAAATATAATACGGT